ATTTTTTTTTTCTTCAATTTAGGTTGAATTTGATTTTGTAGTTTAATTTATTTTCGCAGTTTCGGTTATTTTTTTTTATGATTTCGATAAAATCTGCGGTGTGACAGCATTGACGAGATTTCAATAGCGAACAGATCTAAAAATAGACACACATGTCAATTTTCCCGTCATTGATAACCCATTTGATCGAAGCCTCATCAAAACAATTACAAAAATGAAGAAAAAAAAACACCAAATTCCATTTATGACTTATTATTTAAATATTCCCCTTATGATAATCAACGGAAAGAACTGCGATTTAATGAAGTAGGAAGTGTATTCGCAGGTGTGTAATAACCAGCGTGTATGTTTACCCGTAAATTCAACAACCTCAGGGTCGCTGCCGAGCTATTTCCAAATGTTTTTGATAATAACATTCGAATCACCGAACTCATCTCGATGCACTGGGTGAGAAATTTCATCGGAGATCCACCGAGATACACTTCGAGAGACCTCGGAGAGTCTTTCCACGTTCGTCATTACTCATTAGTCTTTCCAAGGCAGTTGCCGGTTGTCCCTGAGTGAAAAAAAAGTCGTATCGTGCGTATACCTACACTGTCATCGTCGGCTTAGCATTTTTTTTTCCATGTAATTACGCACTCAATTATCGGAGGGACTTCAAACACGTGTCAAACCTCTGTCGCGAATTTTCGACACTAGTTTGTGGTCTATTTTTCAGTGTAAATTGTGGAATTCGTGAATTTATTTATGGACTTGAAAATGTTTCTTTGGATTTTTTAAAGTGAAATCAGTTTGGAGATGTTTATTGCCTGATTTTTTTTTCAATAAAAAATATCACTTGATATTGTTTTTTCCTCATAAACTCACTTGAAGAGTTGATTTATCTTGAAAGTCGAGAGATTGTTCTCTCATTTTTGAAAGTAGGTATTTTTAAAGTAGTTTAAAATTTGAAATAAATTCTGAATGAATGTTGATGTGAATAGAAACATTTCGGTTCAGTTGAGCTCAATCGGCAGTGTAGATTGATAACTAGGGGGCTTGACCCTCGGCTCGCTCCGCTCGCTAATCCGACGGGGGCTCCGCCCTCTTGCTCGCTTCGCTCCCCCCCCCC